CATGTTACGGATTCTATAAGATATTGGCTCCGTAAGATTAACCTTTTTGCTCTAACGGCAGCAACACACCACTTGCTTGGTAACCTTTTTTATATTTTTCTGGCTCTGATGCTACTTCTAAAGTCTGCCCTGTTCTTTATCCTTTATGTGGGTACGATATTTTAATGGGTTAATACATGCAAGAATTTATCCAATATAAATTATTAAAGATGGCCAAACTATGAGTTTATTTTTGGATAGGAAAACATAATCCATGTATTTATTTTGGGACATAAATTACATGTTTCCAGAGTTCAGTTTGAGTAATGAATGTTCATTATTGTGGAAGTAGAATGGCCTAAAAAAAAAACAATATTTAAAGCCAACCTCGCTAGGATGGTGATTGCACAACATGATGATAGACTTATTATAAGATGATTTTAGTAAACACAGACATATTACAAAACTATATAGATGACATATTCTCATAAACCTTTTGACATCCATAATAAATGCAATACATTAGTAGAAAATAAATATGACATTTATTTATTTATTTTACGTTGCTTAGGAAACAAAGCCAAGAGGCTGGCTGAATGGTTAAAGAGATTTAAACTAGCTTTTTTCCACATTTGCTAGTGTGGAAATAAAGGGGAATGTTATGAATGTTACATTTTGTAATAGTTCTACAAATCTAATCATTTAATTTTTTTTGCATTGTTTCATTATTTGTACACTCATATTTGATTTTCAGTTGCAAAGAACTATGATATACACATGAGCTAAGCAAGTTCTGGATGTCACCAGAACACAACCAGCCCAACTCTTTCCTAATATTTAATGTAACAAAGTTAGTTTTCTCCCTTTAAGTGTGTGTTAACTGAATGTATTCTAAATTTGTTAGAAGACCTTTAGAAGATAAGCACCTAAAGAGATCCTTACATGGAGATATGGAAGAAACCACCGAAAAATTGAACGATGGGTCTCAACAGCTGAACAATCCATGTGTTTGAATTTTAGTCTACAAGTGAACTTAAAATAGCGATATCAACCATTTCATTTCAAAATGGTGGTAGAAAAACATGTAAAACTTGGAGTATATCAATATAAATTCTAAATCCAGACTCTTAACCCTGAGTAACTATTGAGTAGTTGAACCAACCAAAATGCGCAATGACCGAGCATGTTTTGGATTGTGATTCGGAATTTCCCTGAGGCACCAAAAAAAAGAGATGATTAACGTGAAAAAGACAATTGATGGCTTGTGGGCAGCTACAAAATTCAGATTTTATGCACAGATCAAGTTAGAAGTCACCAGTAAAGAAAAAAAAGGAGAAGCAATTAAAAACCCTATATTTATATATTTAACCCCTTGACGACCGATGACGGTTCAGGACCGTCATCGGAAACATCCCCTTGGGGACCGATGACGGTCCTGAACCGTCATAACGGTCTGGGGGTACTTACCTGATCGCTGTCGGTCCCCCGTGGTGATCAGCACTCCTCCCAGTCCAAGGGGACTGCCTGTCTGCCCAGGCAGTCTCCCCGCGGCAGATCAGGACCCCGCGGTCACGTGATCGCTCGATAACATGACCGCAAGAGGTGTCTGTGTATCTGCCTGCAGGGGGACTGTCTGTGCTGACAGGCAGTCTCCCTGCAAGTAGAAAATAAAGTTAAAAAAAATCAATCAGTGTAAAAAAATAATATATATATGTATATATATTATGTATATATATCAAATATATAATATCATACTAAGTGTATTTTTATATTTATATATCCATATATTAATATAAAAATACACATATAATTAAATTACACACGTATATATATAATAACTATATATATTGTATAAATATATTATAAATTATAAATAATATGTTAATAAAAATAAATAACAAGAAGTAAAAATAATTTTTAATAATTAAAAAAAATTATATATATGTAATTTTATTCTAACAGTATTTTGATATTAATATATATATATATATATATATATATATTTATATCAAAATACACTTAGAATGTAATGATATATATATCCACGAATAAATAAATAAAAATAATACGAAATATACATATGTCCATATACATAATTACATAAATAATTTCATAAATATACACGTAGACTTCAAATATATAAATATGTATATATATTAAAATTCTATGTGTATTTATGTAATATTTTTACCAAATTAAGTAATTTTAATGATTGCAATTTGAGGGACCTGCCTGCCAACCCAGGCCGAAAGTCCAGAGAATTTAATTTGCTAGCACTGTGTTTAACCCTGTAACTTTCTATGACACCCTAAAACCTGTACATGGGGGGTACTGTTTTACTCGGGAGACTTCCCTGAACACAAATATTAGTGATTCAAAACAGTAAAACATATCACAGCGATGATATTGTCAGTGAAAGTGAAGTTGTTTGTATTTTTCACACACAAATGGCACTTTCACTGATGATATTGCTGTGATACTTTTTACTGTTCTGATACACTAATATTTGTGTTCAGCGAAGTCTCCTGAGTATAACAGTACCCCACATGTAGAGGTTTTATAGTGTTTGTGAAAGTTACAGAGTCAAATATAAGGCTTGATTTTACTTTTTTCTTTTTATTGAAATTTGTCATATTGGTTAGTTGCCTTTGAGAGCGTATGGTAGCCCAGGAATGAGAATTACCCCCATGGTGGCATACTATTTGCAAAAGAAGACAACCCAAGGTATTGCAAATGGGTTATGTTCAGCCTTTTTTAGTAGCCACTTAGTCACAAACACTGGCCAAAGTTAGCATTTTTTGCCTTTTTAACACACAAAAAAATATAAATGCTAACTTTGTGACTAGGTGGCTACTAAAAAAGACTGGACATACCCCATATCGAATACCCTGGGTTGTCTACTTTAAATAAATATGTACATGTGAGGTGTGATTCAGGGATTTATGACAGATAACGGTGTTACAATGTCACTATTGATAAATTTAAAATATATATATATTGAAACAGCAATTTCCTACTTGTATTTATAGGCCTATAACTTGCAAAAAAAAGCAATAAAGCATGTAAACACTGGGTGTTTTTAAATTAGGTACAACATTTTTAATCTATTTAGCAGTTTTTTTCATTAGCTAAAAGTCAAAAAACATGTTTTTTTTTATTTTTCATCATATTTTATTATTTTTTTTAAAATAAAATATATGACATGATACAAATAATGGTATATAAAGAAAGCCCTTCTATATACAGTTGCAAGAAAAAGTATGTGAACCCTTTGGAATGATATGGATTTCTACACACATTGGTCATAAAATGTCACAACAATAGACAATCACAGTCTGCTTAAACTAATAACACACAAATAATGAAATGTTGCCATGTTTTTATTGAACACACCATGTAAACATTCACAGTGAAGGTGGAAAAAGTATGTGAACCCTTGGATTTAATAACTGGTTGAACCTCCTTTGGCAGCAATAACTTCAACCAAACGTTTCCTGTAGTTGCAGATCAGACGTGCACAGGGATCAGGAGTAATTCTTGACCATTCCTCTTTACAGAACTGTTTCAGTTCAGCAATATTCTTGGACTGTCTGGTGTGAATCACTTTCTTGAGGCCATGCCACAGCATCTCAATCGGGATGAGGTCAGGACTCTGACTGGGCCACTTCAGTAGGCGTATTTTCTTCTGTTTAAGCCATTCTGTTGTTGATTTACTTCTATGCTTTGGGTCATTGTCCTGTTGCAACACCCATCTTCTGTTGAGCTTCAGCTGGTAGACAGATGGCCTTAAGTTCTCCTGCACAATATCTTGATAAACTTGGAAATTCATTTATCCTTCGATGATAGCAATCCGTCCAGGCCCTGACACAGCAAAGCAGCCCCAAACCATGATGCCCCCACCACTATACTTCACAGTTGGGATGAGGTTTTGATGTTGGTGTGCTGTGCCTTTTTTTCACCACAAAGTGTTGTGTGTTTCTTTCTAACAACAATTTTTTGCCAGTACTGATGTGGAACATCCAGGTGCTCTTGTGCAAACTGTAAACATGCAGCAATGTTTTGTTTGGAGAGCAGTGGCTTCCTCTGTGGTATCCTCCAATGAAATCCATTCTTGTTTAGTGTTTTACGTATTGTAGATTCGCTAACAGGGATGTTAGCATTTGCCAGTAACTTTTGTAAGTCTTTAGTTGACACTCTAGGATTCTTCTTCACCTCATTGAGCAGTCTGCGCTGTGCTCTTGCAGTCATCTTTACAGGACGGCCACTCCTAGGGAGAGTAGCAGCAGTGCTGAACTTTCTCCATTTATAGACAATTTGTCTTACCGTGGACTGATGAACAGCAAGGCTTTTGGAGATACTTTTATAACCCTTTCCAGCTTTATGCAAGTCAACAATTTTTAATCGCAGGTCTTCTGAGAGCTCTTTTGTGCAAGGCATCATTCACATCAGGCAATTCTTCTTGTGAAAAGCAAACCCAGAACTGCTGTGTGTTTTTTATAGGGCAGGGCAGCTGTAAGCAACACCTCCAATCTCATCTCATTAATTGGACTCCAGTTGGCTGACATCTCACTCCAATTAGCTCTTGGAGATGTCATTAGTCTAGGGTTTCACATACTTTTTCCACCTGCACTGTGAATGTTTACATGGTGTGTTCAATAAAAACATGGCAACATTTCATTGTTTGTGTGTTATTAGTTTAAGCAGACTGTGATTGTCTATTGTTGTGACTTAGATGATGATCAGATCACATTTTATGACCAATTTGTGCAGAAATCCATATCATTCCAAAGGGTTCAGATACTTTGTCTTGCAACTGTAACTTGTATGGGAACAGTAAATGAGAGAGAGGAAAATTACAACTAAACACAAACACCACAAAAGTGTCAAAACTGCTCTGGTTCTTAACGTACAACATTGCAAAAACAGGCTGGTTCTTAAGGGGTTAATATATAAATATAGATTTCTTACTGCACCTCCTGATTTTCATTCTATTGGTTACTTTTTCTGACTTGATTTGTGAACAAAGTGGCGGGAAAATGCTCTGATCAGTATACTGCAATATATATATACAGTATATGTTGCAGTATACTGATCAGAGCATTTTCCCGCCACTTTGTTCAGCTCAGCTGATCTATTTCCCCCCCAAAAAAGAAAATTTTCCAGGATGACAGAATTCCATTTGAATATCATATATATATATATATATATATATATATATATATCTATAATACACAAGATCCAGCGCACTCACCTATCCACTAAACAGCAACTTCAATGTTGAAAGGTTTTATTTGTTTTTTTAAAAACACCTAATCTAGGCAAAAATAATGGGGGTTTAGTTACATTATATGATCATACATTGCATAAGCCTGCCACAACGTCAATGTACCCCATCTTTGGCAGGTCCTACACTAACAGCCTAATGTCTGCTCTTATGAGATTAACCTACTTGGGGGAAAAAAATTCCATCTGGGGCTCTCTGCAATACAAGGCTAAATAGGGCCCTGGGATGAGGCACCTGTAACAGGGAGGGGTGCAAAACCAATGAGTTGGCTAGACTCCCAAATATATATAAAACAAGAGGGGGTTGGCTGCACTCACCTTAACATGCATAAAGGGGGGTGCTGCTGGGGACCAAATAATACAATATACAAGATCCAGCGCACTCACCTATCCACTATATATATATTGAAATACCCTGAACCATTTCAGTGCCGTTTTGGTTAATCTGATTTGATTTCTGGGTTTTTTGGTTCTAATATTCAGATGGAATTCTGTCATCCTGGAAAATGTTCTTTTTTGGGGTAAAATAGATCAGCTGAGCTGAATTTTCTTCCTGTGCATAGGCATATGTTTTGTATCTGTACGATGGTAATTGTAGTTCCATGAAAAATATCTTTAGAACATACTTTTGATCCTCCAATCTAAAATTTGTCAATTTCCAACCTGTAATTTGCAGGATCAATGCTGTTCACCATTTTTTGCTTTGGAGGGCTAGTTTTGGTTGGACCAACATGTTGTTAAACCATGACTTATTTCTCCAACCAACCCCCATGCTAACCTTATTTCTTCTTCTCTTTTACAATCTCACTTTTTTAGGAATCCTGCGCAGTCCTCTCCTCTAATCCCATATCCACCAATTTAATATGTTTTATTAATTTAAATCTAGCCTCAGTTGTGCCCTCATATTTTGTCTCTCTCTCCCCATTCCATCTGCCCATTCCCCATCTGCCTTTTTCCCTTTCCATCCATCTATCTATTCTCTTCCCTATTCCATCTCCCCTTACCAATAACACTTGTCTTTACCATATTCTCTATTTGTTGTTCTCAGTTATAGTTTCCCGCAAGTTATTTTCAATCCTTTTACTGATCAAAACTGCCTAAAGAAGAATGAGGTGGTACTCGACTATTACTAACTTTACTTTTGACTTAACCATTATCACTATTATATCACTTACATTCAATGTGTGATCGCTTATCATTTGATTCTGGTCTGAATTATGTACAGTGACCCATGTCTCTATCTTAGTTATCACAACGGTTATTTAGTACTGTATACAGTTGGCACTGTCAAACACATCTTTTAATAATTAAACTTACTCCCTTTAGAATATGCGAAGGTTCCTTACTCTTCATTCTTCACACTATGCTAATTCATTAGGCATTGTCTGAAGTTTAAACTATTATCTTGTACTTTCTTTTAATTTTATGAACATTCCCTCGGCACTGCCGGGGTTAATACACACCGAGTACCGCTGTTCACTTTCCTTATTCGGTACTGCTGGGGTTAAGATACCCTGTGTACCGCTGTCTAAACACGCCCTCTTGTCCACCCTGATACACGCCCCCTCACTAACATGATTCGCAGATGACTCTTGATGTCATACCTGGGGGGCGGCCCTTTAGTTAGGTTTAAAAAGAAGTGCGTGTTAATCCGCAGATTGCTCTTGACAAAGGCGACAGGCATTGCCGAAACGCGCATCTGGCATTTTCTCCCACCAATGCGGATGATTTTATGCTAGGACCATCGAATGTTCCTCATTTGATTTCTCTCTTTAGTTAGAGAGCTTCATGGGGGGATTTGAATTGAGTTATTATTTTCAGCCTAATTTTTTTCACTTTAGGGACACCCTCCCCCCAAATCTCGTATAGCACTGTAGCACGTTTGCTCTTATAAGACTCCGATATTTGGATACTTTTATTCACATATGTACATTGACATTTGGTACGTTGTTATTTGGATATGTTCGTCTTTGGTTACACTAACTGCCTAATCCTCCGGGATATTCAGACACTATCTCGGTATTAAGAAGTACCATGGCTACTTAGTTGTTACACCTCTAGACCATAACTATATCCTTATTTGGGTCTCGTTTTGACTTTACTTTTACAGTCTATTCTACTATTCATTGAATCTCCGTACCACCCTCTTATTTTAACGAGGGGTACAATTATCTGTGAATTGGATTTTTTTCGCATAAGGGTATTATAATAGTGGCCAGGTCTCTTGATTTAATATCCAGGGATCACCATCACATTACTATACTATCACCACATATACCCGTCTGCCTAATACTGGTCCATTATATCCCCTCTAAATCCCTTGGATCATCTACATAGACTGTCTACATTTTTTGCAACAATTTGCAACATACTATTTAGATACAGTCATTCATTCTGATCATTACTTTGGATTTGTTACTATGATAATTCGTATGGTCCTATTTTATTTTTGTTTGTTATCTATTAGTATATGGATTTTTTTTTCCGTGTTGTTCCTTATGAGGGACTAATAAAGAGTATATTGTTCTAGTTTTTTGCTCTCTATCTAGGCACCGTCCAAATACTTGCAGAGCAGTTTATGGATATGCTGCTAACTGTCCTGAGCAAGAACTTTTTCAAATTTGATGATAGATATTATTTAATACAGTACCTTGAATAGGTTTGAATGTAGCACCCATATAAGCGAATATTGTCATGGCTATGTGGGAAGGGAAATGTATCTATGTAAAGGATCTTTTTATTAGATATATCAAGTACGGATACATAGATGACATATTCACTATGTGGGAGGGCCCATTTGAACCCCTCCAGGCATTTCTATCTTACTTAAACACCATATTAAGGAGTATTACATTTACAATGATATACGATTATGAAAAACTGCCTTTTTGGACACTTTGGTCTCTATTACAGATGGTAGACTATTGACCAATTTATATGTGAAACCATCAGACAGAAATTCTCTCTTGAGATTTGATAGTGCACATCCTAGTAATATAATTCAGGCCGTATCAAGGAGTCAGTTTCTTAGAACCAGACATATAGTTTCAGATGAAGATGATAGCAACACAAGATGTTGTGAAATGGTTAATAGATAAAACAAAGAGTATTTCATTTGAGTCTGCTACATAGGAAGATTAATAAGATTGCAGAGAATCCAAGGGAGGAAACTTGACTCCACATGTTTGTGATAGAAGTTGTCTTTATATCTAAATTTTTCAAACATAGCACTGTATATGCTTGTCTATAAGTTGATGTCGTGTATAAGTCGAGTGCAGTTTTTTGACCAACAATTGTGAAATATACTATGACTCGTGGATAAGTTGAGGGAACGTTATTCGAATGGAATTGCTCAGCTTCTGTTTGGTTACCGAACAGATTCTTTGTGATCCCCTTGTTAACACTTCATAACCACCGACCACCCCTGGCTGTTAACCACAAACAAGCATTTCCTGGGTGGCTGCCATTTGTATATATGAACGCATATATTGTCTCCTGAATGCAGGCAGGAGTACATGGTTGTCGACGGCGTGGATCTCTGAGTCGGCTACGCAAGCCAGCGAACCCCGCTGAAACTTGTACCTCTGCTCATTTGACGTCCTGACCAGCTAGGAGAATCACTGTTCGACTCCCGAACGCCGTACAAAATTCTATTGAAACCAGCACTGACCCACCGATAAATCGACTGCATTTTAAAATGTAGTTTAAGACTAAAATTTCTTGACTTATACACGAGTATATACGGTAATCTAGTCATTAGAATTTTGAGAAATTATTGCCATATTATACAGGACTCTCATCCTCAAATTGAGGATTTTAGAGAAATGCCCTTAATGGCATATAAAAGGGGCAGTCATTGAGAGACAGATTGGTTAGTGGAGAGTTCTCCGTACAGAAAGAAGAGAGATTAACATTTTTAGGAACCCGTAAATATGGTAATTTTCCCTGTTATAATTGTAGTGTCTGTTGTGCTTTGATTAGGGGTAATCCCTTCATGTATCCTTAAGCTAATAAAAAATATAAGATTAAACATTATTTTACATATAAATTCACATATATTGTGAAGTTAATCCACATGGACATCACTTAAATGTGGATTAACATAGGTAAGGGAAACAACTCAAATATTTTGAGAGATTTGCAACTACCTATTCCACATAATTTTTTATGAGGCAAGACATAATATATCCCAGCTAAAAGTCCAAATTTTTGACTGCGTCCCTAAACTTAAAAGAGGAGTGATTGACAAAACCTACTCGAAAATCATTTTTTTTGGATGAGGCCATAGGACACTTTATGGCCTAAATGCCTTAACAGAGACTAGCATTTATCTCCATTAATCTTATGAGAAAATAGTTATATAGAGAGCATACCTATTACAAAAGAGAGTTAATTATATGTTTTAAATATATATATTGTGGCACAAATGAAATGATGCACACCTTTTATGACTTTCTCTTTATAGAAGATATATTTATTGCCATTCTAATGTTTTCTCTCACTCAGATGATTGATAGCATTTTTGTTTTTTTAAGACCCCCATCGTATTTATTCGTTTGAATATCTTTTGTTGTGTTATTGTACTTATCTGGAATTGACTTCATAATATTTTTCACACTGCGATTATAGAACATGATATGTGGATATCTGTAGAGCGAGTCATTTTTGAAGTACAATAGGTACTGCCTTTTCAAGGAATATATAATGAATGGAAATTATGCTATAATACCTAAAATGTAATATTAATTATACAGGTTCCATTATGAATATAATTATAAAATGTAAGTGGCGATACATATCATTTCTAAGAATAATTTTTAAAAAATACTATATTTCATTA